TTGGTCTACAGGTCGTCATGTCATGCGCATGCATAGTGCATGCATGCATGCATTTATGCGCATGGCGCCCATCTCTATACCAGACCATCTAGATTGGAAAACCAAAGACTAAAGTATAAAGTATGAATATAAATACTGGGTTGTAAACCTTACAAGAAGTGAGAAGTAAGTAATAGAAGACTAATTAAAAAGTTGTGTTTAAGATATGGATTGTGTTATGATAGTACTCCAAAAGGTAACATGAGATATAAACACAATAATGGCAAATGATATATACTAAGTAGGAAGAATATTACTAAACAAGTACATACTGTGTATGAGATATGATATGTGGTATCAAGTTTATCTCAAGAATTAGCCAAAAGGAGTTCTAAAGTGAGTGCTAAAAGCTAGAGATGTTGCAAAATCTACGTATAAATAGTGAGTTACATCCAGGTTAGATATAAGAGCTTTGAGTTATAACCAGAAAGTTTAAATAGATAACTCCATAGTTAAGTTGCAGGTATGACAAATAGTGTAAAACCTTTAGGCAAACCATTTAAATTAGGCACCAAAAATGCATATGTGGCTAGTTGCACTTTTATCATAATTGTAATAAGTTTTAAATATCTAATAAAACAGTTTTTGGCCAAAGAAATTACCTTAATAGTAAAAAAATATATATATAATATTGATATATATATTTTTTTTTAAATGAGATTTTTTTCTTAGTTCTTTTATTATTCATTATATAAATTTTACATAATAAGTTTTTTGAAAGAAGTATGAATAGAGCTACTTTACTCTAAACCCAAACCTTAGCTAAATAGGTTAAAGATCTCTAGTTTATAAATTTAAAATAAGTTAGAGATTTATAATATTGATATTTTAATAAGCTATAGATTTGATTTTAATATTAAAAATAATATAATTAATAAATTAGATCAAAATAGCTATAAATTATAACTTAAAATTTCTTTATTTTTTTTTTATTTAATAATTTTTATTTTTAAAAATATATTTTAGTTTAAAAATATAATATTATTAAATATTAAATCAATTAGAGTTAATTACTATTTAAAAAAGCTTTAAATTATATAATTAATAATAACTATAAAATATTAATTTTATTTTTACAAATAGTATAAGACTATACAAAATTAAATAATTATTTTTCATAATATAGGATTCTAAAAATGATCTGCTTGCCTGGCTTTTAATTTTTAAATTATAAAAATTTTATAAATTTTTTTTATCTAGAAAAATTAAAATATATAGTCAGACCTTCCTAAATGCATATTTTCTAAATACATACCTCTTTAAATATATGGCCTTGTTTGGCCCCAACTTATATGATACTTATAGATTTTTACTTCTCTAAATACAATACTTTTCTAAATACAAGATTTTTTGGCAGCCCAAGACTATGCATTTAGAGAGGTCTGACTGTATATTAAAATCTACTTAGAAGTATTTATATCTAAAAACCAGAAAAAAACTCTTCCTGTAAATCACTTTACCAAAATAGAAACAAGAAAAAAAAACTTTTCTGTAGAAATATTTTTAAATTTTACTAAGTAATTTAATATCTGGCTTTTAAGTAAAGTTGCTTAGCATCTAAAATAGCATCTAAAAAAAAGTATATTTTTTAAAATAAGCTATTTTCTCATTAAATTAATCTTAATAAATATTAAAAAAAAACAAAAAATTAGTTTTTTTATTTTCTTGCAAAAGTGGTTTTAAAAACCACCAATATTCAAGCACTCTGCAGCAAAGTACTATCAATTCTATACCAAAATATCAAAAAGTATTAAACAACTTACTCTGCCAAGCTCTAGCTCCTACTTGAAAACATGATTTCAGAAAGTTCTTACAGCTTTTTTGGCTATTTTCTATATTTTGCAAGCCTGTGCAATATGACACTACCTCTGCCACAATACAACTACCAACTCCAGAAACAGAATATACAAAAAATTTTACTAAAATTACTATTAAAGATTGGTCTAAACTTATCTTTACTATTAGCTTCTCTATTTTGAAGTATGCTAATGACTTTCTCTTTTATATTAATATTATATATAATACAAACAAAAATACTATTACTATCACAAATATATATACAACCTTATCTACCTCTGCTATCAGCAATACATCTCTGATTAACAATTCTATAGTTAGTAATACTACCAAGACCAATCTATCTAGACTGAGTACACCAACTAAGCAAATCACTTCAACACTAAACCTACTAGCTATCTCTAATACCACTACTACAATTGCTACATCTAGCACCAACATTAATCATAAAACAATATTTTTTTATTGGTTACTGCTCCAAACAAGACCACCAAAGCAGTATCTGGAAGCATGATTCTTAATTTTTTTCTTTTCTTGTTACTATTGTTTGTTTAAAATAAACTACTAGCCTTTAATATTTGTTAGAATTTCTTCTACTAGGCTCTCATTTTGTAACAGGATTTTAATATTATATCTCTTATTAATTTCTTATAAAAATTGGTTGAATTTAGCAATTTGTGATCCTAGATGATCTTGTTTTAAATTATTTTTAAATTTTTTAAAACTTTTATAGATTCTACTAACTGTTAGTATAACTTTTTTAAAGAATATATCAGTCTTGTTTGCTTATTATTTTGTTTATTCCTGTATTGGGTTTAATTTTTTTGAAGAGAATATTTCACTTGGCTATATATAGAATGCCATCTTAATTAATTGCTATATTTTATTGAGGACTTTTGATTCTTTAAGCTCTTGAATACTTCTCTTTTTAAAGTTATTCAAAACTTAAAGACTAGTTTTTTTCTTTAAAAAGTTCTTTAGATCTTTTTTATAATTTATTTAGTTTCTTCTAAAGCTTTATTATAGAGAAACTGGATAAACTTAGTATTTTTGTTTTGGTTAAACCTACTTGAAGCTACTAAAATTTTGTTTTTTAAGCCAATTTCAATAGCTAAAATATTATGATTACTACTTGTTAATATTGCTATATTGTAGATTTTTGCTTTCTCAAGCATGTTTTTCAGATTTAACTCTACTTAAATTTGGTTAATTCTTGTATATATTTTACTATTTGGCCAGATATATTTTTTTGTGATTATATTTAGCAATCTGTATATATTCTTAAAGCCCTAATTTTGTAACCACTTGTGAAAAACTAAATGCTTGTAGATAGAGTTTGTTGTATTTAATACTTAGTTTATATTTTTATCTACTATATAATTAAAATCATCTATATATATGATTACATATATATTTTTAGATCTAGTCAAATAGATTTGTATAACTTGTTAGATTATCTTGAGCTGTCATTTGTTATTTGAAGATATATATAATATAAGTATTACAAGATCTACTTTCTTAAAAAAAAAAGAATCTCTAATAAATATTTACTATATCTTATAATTTTTTCTACATGTATACTAATAATTAGCAAATCTATCACTAGACCTTTTTTTTTTGTATTACTTGTATCAGCCCAAAAACTTATATAATCTTTATAGCTTTTAATTGGAAAATATTTTTCTTTTTCTAAAGTAGGTAACAATATATATATATTGTTACCTACTTACATTAGGTTGTTACCTACTTATGGGAATGACGATCGATTCATGTTTGCGTCATCACTCGAATGACGAATGATTCGTGATTGCGTCGTCAGAGATATATTAGTATTCGCTCCGTCATTTGAGTGACGAACGATTCGCGCTTGCGTCGTCAGAGATATATTAGTATTCGCTCCATCATTCGAGTGATGAATGATTTACGCTTGCATCGTCATTCGAGTGATGATTGGTTCATGAGTTCGTCATCACACTTGGGTACCCACAACCTATAAAAAAATATGACGATGAATTTGTAGTCATGTCGTCACACTT